TTCCCTACAAACACAACCTCAATCAAATGTTCTGAGAAACTAACCTGACCCTAAACCCCAAACCCAAACCCTAGACCCTAAACCAACTCACATGAAAATGCGAAGGAGAAGAGATGAAAGAGTGGAAATCGGACAAAAAGGACATAACGTACCATTTCTCTGAATGCTCTCCGGCTATGTTGGAAACCTCGGTTAGAGCATGCTTCCATCTTTGCTTCTCCTCCGATGATTTACCGACATGAGTTTTCATGAAAGCCCTTCCGAATTTGCCGGTATGCTTCCTTACATCATATGGATCCAGTTGGTAGAAAACCGTCATGACTGTTTGCTCTGAAGTTCTCCTCTGTTTCATGATCTGAAGCAGCTCGTTCAAGCACCAGCCCGAGGAAGCGTAGTTCCTGGAGAGAACGACGATCGCAATCCTCGACTCTCGGATGGCTCGCTCAAGTTCAGGGCCGATGGATCGACTCCTCGCTATTCCGTTGTCTTTGAACGTAAAGATTCCTCTCCGTTCGAACTCCTCGTGAACGTGGGACAGAAAGGTTCTTCGAACATCTTCGCCACTGAAACTCGGAAATACATCATATGTCGAATGCCAAGAAGAAGAAGAAGAAACCATTCTTGGAGATTTCTGAAGAGCGAAATTTGCAGGGCAGACCCTCCATCGAATGTCCTCAAAGAACAAGGAAAGAATGTGGAAGGAAACTTCTTCCTCCAGATCGAGGAAAAGTCAATGTCGGTGGTCATTTTTCTTAACATATCAGAAAACACCCAAAATATACAAGAAACACTTAAACCCGGTTAACCCAATTAATTTAATTAAATAATTAGTTTACAATATATATGCATTCGGTTAAATCTAGAATTTGATTCGAATCTATTCATTTGGATTAATTTATTCGTATTTAAATTCGATTCATTTTGATTCGAATCAGTTCGTTTTAATTAGGATCAATTTAAATTAGGTCCATTTCAATTGGTACCAATTTGATTCGAATGAATCTGATTGGGTTCATTTAGATGTGAATTCAATTTTTTTTTAAAAAAATCTGGATTTTTGATTATTTCTATATTTAGTTCGGCATTCATTTTTTATTTTTTAAATAAATTTTTTACATTTCATTTTATATCAAATTTAATTATATATTGCTTGATTTAAATAAATTGGATTTTGATTTTTAATCACACGGATTTAATGAATTTATCCATTTAATCTATAATTTTAATGGGTCACCAATCCAGATACAATTGATATTGAATTTAATTATCTCATTTAGCCCAATCTAACCGGTCGCATATCTTTCGCTTGAAATTTAGTTCCCTTTTTTTTCACCCTTTTAATTTTCTTTAATTCACTTGAAACTTAAATCATAAATTGTTAAAAATACGTGGAATTTTCACCCGGATCAGAAAGGGGGCTTTTTGATATTGGGTATGTTCCAAATGTTTTTGTTGCATACATTCTGATTCCTTAATTCTTATCAGAATCGAAAGGCAGTCGATATCCGATTATTGTCACGTTTTTCACAAAACCCAAACAAACGAGATATTGTCAATCCACTGTAATAACTGTATTACACTGAGAAAACATTAAGAAAAAAAAAAAACCCTAACTAGGGCAAAGGCAGTGCACCCCCGTGAAACGGTTCATTCAAAAGTGAGCTGAGTTCATCGATATCTAGTCCCTGAATCCAAGCATATTCATCATCAACTATATTCGCAAACGGTTGGAAGGCTGCGTCCTCGACGTTCTGACCGATCGACGAATTGATTCCGAGGTTGCCTTGATTCATCCGACGTCCATCCCCGTTCACCCGGCCGTTGCTTTTGCGTCGGATTCTGCAGACAACCCATTCTTGAGATTCCTGGGAGGGCAGGCGATACTCTCTCATCAGCCAATCCGTCTTCATCTGCTTCGTACTCCCCACCTCGTTCTCCATGAAAGTGAGATTCCGAGCGTGGCCGATAACGACAGCGTTTCCGCCATCTCTGATCTCTTCTTCCCCGGTTGTGCTCTTCCATGTGCCGCCGTTTTCTTTCTTTTGGACCTGCCGGCTCTGTCTCTTTCTCTTCCTCGTGCTGTCTATTGTCTTTTTCACGAAATAGTACCACTCATTGTCTTGGAACAGAGGCGGGGTGACGTGTGGAAGAAGCCAGGGTTCCGATCCATAAACATCCACGTCCTTTATGAAACTGTCGCCTCCGCCGTTGACTTTCCAGCGAAGGTGACTGATGAGATCTTATCGTTGGGGCGAAACTTTAACCCGACGATGTCTTGCCAGTCATCCATCGCCATGTGTTATGACTCTCTCTCTCTCTCTCTCTCTGTCAATCTCTGTGCAAAATAGGAACGATGAGATCTCCCTGTCTTTTGTTGAAGACGAGAGGAATAATACTCTTGTGGCGGTGGTGAGTAAAGGTATAACATACATGATATATATAGAGACAGAAAGAGAGAGAGAGAGAGAGAGAGAAAGAGAGTGATTTATGGACGGAGCTATATCACTTGGGCATGACTATATCACTTGCAAACTTGTTGCCGTTTACGCGTTATAGAGAAAATGGCAACAAGTTTAGGGATTATCAAGAAAAGAGAATCTGAATGAGGGTGAGTAGGATAGGATATAGTCTTAGTTTAACGGTTTTTAACGACTTCGAGTCAAACGTAACCGAACCCTAACTTAAGACGCAAGTAACTTCGTATAAAAACAGTAGCGGCAACATTTCCTATCAATTCAGGGTTTCTGCCTTCGAAAGTCAAACTCATTCTTCTTTAACAAAAAAAAAATATATAACAAACCATCCGAATCCGTTGAAGAATTTGCGTGATTTGCGTACATGTTGAAGAATTGAACCATCCGAATCCGTTGAGATCAAGGTTCGCTATCCCTTCCACTGTGTTTCTTGCTTCTTTCAATGGTTGTTCTTGATTCGCTTGATCATCTTGGTATTGGGGTATGTTTCTGGATCCATTCCGTTTTCGTTCTTGCTCTCAGTTTCCCGATCGTATATGTTGAATATTCTATGGAAATCTCATGTTGTCTTCCTTCTTTTCTCGTGTTTTCGATCTCTTAATCGCAAGTTTTTTGTTTTTCGTCCTGTTTTCGTATGTTATTTTCACCTCTTGCCACCGTTTGATCTCTTGATCACACAGCATCGAATCATATATAACATGGCGATGTATGACTGGCAAGACATCGTAGGATTAAAGTTTCGCCCCAACGATTAAAGTTTCGCCCCAACGATAAGGATCTCATCAACCATCTCCGCTGGAAAGTCAACGGAGGAGACGGCAGTTTCATAAAGGAGATGAATTTGCTTGGACTCAAGGCATGGATATCAATGATCTCCTTGAGGATGAAGTTACATTGCGAGTGGTATTGGAGAACCGCTCCATACTGATAAGATGAAGTTAGATCCTCTGTCGATTGACACGACTCGTATCAAGGTGGAAATACAACTTGGCTCTCCACTTCCCAACATTATTGAGGTTGAAGATAACAATGGAGGGGTGACCAAAATACGAGTGGTATATGAATGAGTTCTCCCTCATTGTCCTAATTGTAAGGAATTTGGGCACAAATTTGCTAATTACCCTCACAAACCCCATCCAGTCACTATCCAAAAAGGCGACAATTTCACTTTTACCGAACCCAACCTAGTTTACCACTCACAATCACCCACTGATAATCTCCCTCTACCAAGTGCCACAGCAGCCCTAAAATTACCTGAAGTTACCACCCCTGACTGCACTACAACTCCACCAGCACATATCTTACCTTCACCTATTCCCCCACATTCCCATTCCACTTTCACCCCTTGTATGTCCCCCTCTAAACAATCTGTCATCGTCGCCAACTCCCACTGAATCACCATCTAGCACACTTACTAAACTATCATCCAATTCAACAAATAACAATCTCTATCCAAAATTCTGCTTTGACTCAGATGAAGAACTAGTTGCGGCAGTACAAAAAATTCTACGAGCCCGTTCCTCCACTGCTGCTATAGTCAAAGGTACCCAGCGTATTCTACGTTCTCATACTGCCAGAATCTCAACTAGACCCCTCAGACTTCACATTGGTCGGAAAATCTCGGAAGGGAAAAAAGGGAAGTGGGAAGGGAAAATGCAGACTTTTGTAACTTTGATCATCTGACACTGACCACATGGTAGACATATCGTATGTCTTTCTAGCTACACCTCTATGCACTTGTGACGATTTTGCTTTACCTCTCATCCTACTTTGATTTGCTACATTCGGTTTGCTATTGTGAAGTTTGATATATGTATTTAGAGGTGATATATCTCATTGGTATCTCTTATATACTACCATTTTGTATATATATAACATTTACCGTTAACAAAAAAAAAATAATCTTCTTGAGTTTTAATTTGCCCTAGTTAGATTTTTTTTTTCATGGGTCTACACTGCCAATTTTGCCCTAGTTGGAGTTTTTTTTTTCATTTTTGTCTGTCTTTTCTCAGGATATTGGGGTTTGGTGATGCTTTGAATTAGATAGAAGCTCAATGTAATACAATTTCAAACCTTGTTACTTGCAGTCCAAGTTACGGATAATGTAGAGAAAACGGGACGGTTGGCAACAGGTTAAACGTCGCCCATATTTGGGCCTTTGCTGTATCTTTGGGCCAGTTTTCGGGCCTTTGATATTTCTTGGGCCTAAATAAAAGATATCTTTTAACAAAAATTGAATGACAGAAAATTTTAAATTTTGGAAAAAAAAATGATTTTGAAATGGATTTAGATCCAATATTTAAAATTAATTAAAGAAATGTAAAATTTAATATTTTAAAAAAAAATAACAATTTTATCAATAAAATAGAAATATCAAATTTAAAATAATATTTAAATAGATACAATCGGCAACATAAGTAAAACCAAAACCTTGAAATAAATGTCCCTCTTATCTTATACCACTCCATTTGTCTTCGTGTACTTGAACTCTTATGCTCTGCTCTTCTTCTTCTTCTTCTTCAAAAATCGATCCTCAACCCACCGCACAAAAATCAGAACTTCGGAGATGGAGAGAGAAACCCATGAAGAAAGTGGAGATTTTGCGCCGGAAAGTCCACTTCTTGGCAGAGGAAATCCAGATTTTCCCGGAAAATCATCCTCCGCAACGGCTTGTGTCTTGCTCAGTACCTTCGTTGCCGTCTCTGGTTCTTACGTTTTTGGATCCGCTGTGAGCAACAGAACTATCAGATCTTTTTGTTTGAATAAGCGTTCTTGATTTTTCTTGTTTTCAAATTTTAAATTTTTTCTTTGTTTCTTTATCATAATATGTTCTTGTTTTTCATTCACCCCGTTCTTGTGAATCGGTTTCCGCATATGTTGATTGGTTTGGACCGGTTTGATTAATCGGTATGGTGCCCTTTTAACCAGAGGTGTCGATTTTGAATCTTGATGGTTCTTTCAGTAAGTTCCGTATATTCGGTTTTGTAGATTGGATACTCATCTCCGGCTCAATCCGGTATAATCGATGATCTAAATCTCTCTGTCGCGGAGGTGAACTTATGGCCTATCTCTTCTTTATGTTGGATATTTATATAATCATGGTAATTCGTTTCAGTATCAAAATTATTCAAGAGTACAGTTGGATCTACGGATATATGAATCTATATACGTATACGTGCAGTACTCGTGGTTCGGTTCCATTCTTACGATCGGAGCGATGATAGGCGGAGCCATGAGTGGACAAATAGCCGATAAACTTGGGAGACGATCGGTAATATTTCCTCTTACATAGCCACATATTCATTGAGGTATTGGTCTTTTTCGATGGAATCTATTCTATGTTCTAGCACATTGTGCGTTTCTTTTGGACCAGACAATGGCTTTCGCAGAGGTATTCTGCATTGTCGGATGGGCAACGATCTCGTTCGCTAAGGTTATCTCCGTCCTCTTTCTCTTTGTTTTCGCTGCTAATTCTACGATAAATCGTTGTAGAAACTTTCCGGGTCTGTGTTTAAGGTTGCAGGGTGGCTAGACGCCGGAAGATTTCTCGTTGGCTACGGGATGGGCGTGATTTCGTTTGTGGTAAAATTTCGCATTTTTCCCTATAGGTAACCGATAAAACATTTCATATAGGTTTATAACCGAAGCAAGGTTATGAATTCAGCATTGGTTCTAAATGGAAACCTAATATCGGTTTTTATTAACCGACGTTATTTGGTATAGATATATCAGTTGTTGTTCGATTTCGTCCTTGTTTTTTCCTAAATTTGTTTCGGTTAAGTAAAAACAGTCCATGCCAAACTATGGTGATGAACACAGGTTCCTGTATACATAGCTGAAATCACACCCAAGGATCTTCGAGGAGGGTTCACGACGGTTCATCAGGTAAAATACTATTATTACATGACCTGTAAAATCGGGTATCCATATTTTGAAATATGTGTATTTATAACCAAACCGATCGATTCGGCAACAGTCAAATATATATATATATATATATATAACCAATATCTAAGATAAAAATGTACTGTAAATATTTGCAGCTGGTTATATGTTTTGGTGTCTCAATAACCTATCTCATCGGATCATTTGTCGGATGGCGAATTTTGGCTGCTGCTGGTAATTAATATATATTTTTCCCTTTCCCGATATGAAGTTATTAAAATTGGTTTTAAAAAAGTTATAATTATTACATATTATTATTAATATGAATCAATCTCGTGTTTTTAAAACCACAGGACTCGTTCCATGTCTTGTACAGTTGATTGGGTTGTCTTTCATCCCAGAATCTCCGAGATGGTTGGTGAGTCTTCAACTTAGTTGATTTTATATCAGTTTATTTTAATGTTTTTATAAAGAGAAATTTTACAAAAAAAAATTGTAAATGTAGAATATATATATATATATATATATATATATTGATTGGAATGATGACATCTGAAAATTTGGTAATATCTTTAAAATACATTTGTTTCGATGTTTTTAGATATTTTAATTCTTATGGAAATTACTATTTTCCATAGCAAAACAGTTCTATATTTTTTAGAGAAAAAAGGAATATAATAATATTTTTTTTTCAGGCGAAAGTTGGAAAGTGGGGAGACTTCGAAATCGCGTTACAGCGATTACGGGGTGAATTCGCAGATATATCTTCGGAATCAGATGAAATCAAAGTAATGTAACGAGCTTATTTGTTATAAATTCGAGATTATTTAAATATTCCAATTTTTGACTAACGGTAGTATCCATGTTTTTATTTCGTGGTCAAGGGTTACACAGAGGCGCTCGATCGACTTCCAAAAGGTAGCATGTTGGATTTGTTCCAGCGCCGGTACGCCGGTTCGGTAATTGTAAGTTTGGGGTTTGGTATACATATCAATGAATCGGTTATCTTCGGTCTAGCTACTGAAATTCCGGTTTGGCTTAGGTCGGAGTTGGTCTGATGGTACTGCAACAATTCGGTGGAGTTAACGGCGTATCTTTCTACGCCAGCTCCATCTTCATATCCGCCGGTATGTATAAACCCAAAACTGTAAACTGGAAATCAGAACCAAAATTTATAACATAAACCGGAGACAATCGAGAACTGAGATCTTGGTTAACCGATTCAAATCCGTCACCAGGGTTCTCCAGCAGCCTGGGGATGATTGCAATGGTCCTTGTACAGGTATACTTTTTTTTTCCCCTTTCATGAAGTATGTGTAAAAGTAAACATTAAGGGTTTATTTGTTTGTTTTATAATTTAAAGTAGGAAAAAAAAAGAAGGAATTAATTTACTCAAAAATCTAAATAAATGTTCAATGGTTTTTTTTTTGCGCCAAAAAATGTTGAATTTGAGGATAATTATCACTTCTTAAGAAATATCTATGAGTTTATCCATGTTTTAGTCCTGAGAAATTATATTATGTTTTTTTTATTAGGTTTCAGTTTGAGATATGATCCTATTGACATTCTATTTGTATTCTACTCGAATTTACTTTTTATTTTAAAAAACAATTATTTTCTAAAAAATTTATATTTATCCCTTTTATTTCAGATTCCCATGACTATATTAGGAGTGATTTTGACGGATAAATCAGGCAGACGGCCACTTCTTCTGGTAAGTAAATTACGTTTCTAACATAATTTTATCCAAATGTTATATATTCAACCATGCAGATTCCAAATAAATTTGGAAATGAGGCGATGTTATTGTTGTTGCTGCTACTACTGTATATTCAACCATCTAACAAAACCGAATATATAGAACTTGTTCGTTTCTAGTTTCTAATATTTACTTAATTTAACATGTGGAATGACATCCTAAGCAATATTTTTAAAGTATATAATGAAGATAAATCATTAGAAATATTACAGAGAGATGGCCCCAAAGTGTTTTAACTTACTATGAGATATCGTCAGGTTTCCGCCACGGGAACATGCATCGGTTGTCTTCTCGTTGGGACATCATTTTTCTTACAGGTTTTTTTATTTTATATTATATTGTATAATTAATTCTATGCCGATTAACACTAATTAAAACGTCTGTGTATCATAAGATTCTATATATCGCAATGTAGGGTTTAATGCTGTTGAAGGAAACGACACCGTTTCTGGCCCTCCTTGGGGTATTGGTAAATTCTTATTCCCTTCTTAAGGGAAAATCCCAAAATAATATCTGAACTTTTCAATTTTGACAAAATAAAATCTAAACTTTGTTTTTTATCAAATAAAACTTGAACTTCATTTTTTAATAAAAAATAAACTTGAACTTTATAATCTTTGTCATTTTTAACTATGTTGCTAACGTGACATTCCGATATCGTGACACGTGGACGATGATGTGTTAAATATGGTCAAAATGTTGACTTGTCATGTAGGATGTCGGAACGTCACGTCAGCAATATGGTTAAAAATGACAAAGATTATAAAGTTCAGATTTATTTTTGACTGAAACATGAAGTTTAGGTTTTATTTGATAAAAAACAAAGTTCAGGTTTTATTTTGTCAAAATTGAAAAGTTCAGGTATTATTTTGGGATATTTCCTTCTTAATATCTATCATAATATATGTATAAGAAGGACATATTATACAAAAATTGGGAACCAATCCTAATAATATTATCTATCTGTTTTTTCCCTTCAAATTCGGATATCCGGATAAATCGTGTCGGAAATTTTTAAAAAAATGTGGTTTTCATTTTAAACTAATCTAGAGTTTAATGCGGCCATTATTATTTTAATATAATAAATAAAAATTCATATACATGTGGGTGTATGATTTAGATGTACACAGGATCATTCTCACTAGGCATGGGAGGGATCCCGTGGGTCATAATGTCAGAGGTAACACGATTCTTAGTAATGTCTCAGGATATTTGATTCAACATACATACGATACCGGAAATTTGGGCATAATTTTCTTGATCTTCGTTCCCGAAAATTCGATTTTTTTTTCTATCAGATTTTTCCGATCCATATGAAGGGTTCGGCAGGAAGCCTCGTCACGGTGGTTAGTTGGCTCGGGTCGTGGATCGTCTCCTTCGCTTTCAACTTCTTGATGAATTGGAACTCATCTGGTAATTGCTATGGCCTTTGTTCAAGATTTATAATGAAATTTAAAAAATAACGAAGAAACGATAAACAAATTGAATATTTGATGGTTTAACTGGTAAGAGATGAGTCAAAACTCTTTATAATCTAGGTTCAAGTTTTCGAGTCATTCACCTAAATTTTTTCGGTTATGTTTTGTGAATTTTTAGATTATAAAAAAAACGATAAGAATCACGACTAAATGAATATATATATATATATATGGAAAGAGAAAACTATGAAGAAAGAGGAGTATTAATATGGATAATGGAAAAGAGTGTACAAGATACAACAGGGAGAAAATTAGGTTAATTCCCAAAATTCTGTTCTTAAATTCTGTTTTTTTTTTACTCGAGAATAAAAAAAATAATTAAAGATATATATTTTTGTCTGGGTCCTATGTTTTCAGGTACGTTCTTTATCTTCGCCGCTTTTTGTGGATTCACAGTTATTTTTGTGGCAAAACTCGTACCAGAGACCAAAGGACGAACACTTGAGGAGATACAATCATCGATGAATAGTGTATCTCTTTAGGGATATAAGATATGTTTGACGATTAGTTTTATAAATTGAAATAGCACTATATAGTATATATGGTCGGTGTTTTTTAAATTGTTATTCAGATAATTAGTTTTACAAATTATAATTTGTGTATCTAGAGATGATAAAAAAAAAAGTTGATGCATGTTGGGCAAGTCCAATATGAAAACTTGTAATATCTAACGATTAATGAAATTAAATAAGACTATAATTACTCGTATGTTAGACCAATTAAATTCAATCATAATACCATATACTTCATTCTATAGTCCGAAAAGCACATGAAATGACGAAAAAGCCTTCGAACATTTGCGTGGCCCTGAACAAACATTACATTATCCACAACCCACAAACACCAAAAATTCAAACAGAATCAAGAAAATGAGAGAGAAAAAGGCAAGAAAATCACGCCCTTTCCGTCATCTTCTTCCACTGAAAGTCTCTCTCTCTCACTCACATGGAAACCCTTTTCTCTGCTAGATCTCTCTCTCCTCCTCTCAACCCTAAACTTCATTCCTTTCAACAAACCAAACCCACTTCAAATTCCTTCTCTTTCTTCAAACCCATCTCGTCCAGTCATGAACTCGGTTCCGGCCTGTTTGCTAAACCGGAATTTACCGTATAGGGAAATTGGTTAACCGAGGCGAAGCAAGGCCTCGCAGCTCTTTCTCTATCTCTGGCGCTGAGCTTCTCCCCTGTTCTTCACATCAATGGCGGCGACAGTGCCATGGCCTCGGAGTTCGATGTACTAAACGAAGGCCCACCGATGGAATCTTATGTCGTCGATGATGCTGGAGTTCTTAGCCGTGTCACGAAATCGGATCTGAAGCGGCTTTTGTCAGATCTTGAATCGCGAAAGAATTTGAGGATCAATTTCATCACCGTTCGAAAGCTCACTGTGAGTCCCGATTTCTTGGTTTAATGCATTTCCGGTTATGTTCGGTTTGGTTGCATATTGAGTTGGTGTGTATTTGGCAATGAGGGAATCTCTGGTTGGTTCTGGAATGTTATTTTGATCAAACCGAAGCGAATTATAGTCGCCGGTTCCCGTTCCCGGTTTGATCAGTTTGATTCTACCGTTGACGGCAAATTGTGAGAAAATTGATCTATATTGGTTCCAGTCACTTCGGAAACCGGCATAGTTAGACTGATTTCGGTTTATTTGGTTAGTAATTGGTATATACTGGATTTGTGATCATTAGATAGTGTGACAATTAGGTTGATGATTTCCGGATTGATTTGGTTTGAGAATCAGTTTGGTATTCAATTTGGTTATTTTTGGTTAGGTTGATTCAGAATTGGTACAATTTCGAATAATGTGTCCGACAGTTGTTGAATCCCGTATGTCATGTGTTCGACAGTTGGTGTATTGTTACTGGTTCAATCTTGTTCGATCGGTTTAATTGTCTCAACATCAATGCCGAAAAATATGCAAAATCACCGGTTTAAGCCATACTGGAGAACCAGGGTGAATTCTTGGTTTCGGTCCGGTTTGGTTGTTTAGCCTTTGTCCTAACCCAAATCAGACCAATTTTCACCAGAAACATGAAAACATCAGTTCAGTTAAAAATTTTGAAACCGGATTTCAACTGTTTGGTATTTGGATTCGATAATGCAGAGCAAAGCAGACGCATCTGAGTACACGGACCAAGTTTTGGAACGATGGTATCCGACGGTTGAAGAAGGAAGCAACACGGGCATCGTGGTATTGATTACAAGCCAGAAGGAAGGAGCGATAACAGGCGGTCCGGCATTTATCGAAGATGTCGGTGAAAACATTCTCGATTCCACCGTCTCAGAGAATCTTCCCGGTAAGCGATTTTCGTTTGGTACAAGAATCGTTCACAATTCTTTCTGGTTCAATCTGGAAAGTACATTTTACTATGATGTTTGTCAAAACATGAACAATAACCAAATCATCAAATACTGAGCCTGAATCCAGAGCCGGTTGTATTATCTCATGTTAGTTATTATTTGAATTTTACGACATTTCAGTACTGGCAACGGAAGAGAAGTACAACGAGGCAGTCTATAACAGCGCGAAACGGCTGGTGGCAGCGATCGACAGGCTACCGGACACTGGAGGACCGACATTAAAGGACAACAAGAGAGAGTCTAACTTCAAAACGAGAGAAGAAACTGATGAGAAGAGAGGGCGTTCAGTCTTGTCGTCGGAGGATTGCTTGTCTTACGTCTCCGAGAAGTAGGAAAACCGGTCCGGTTTGGTTATAACCGAACCGGTTTTTTCATAAAAACCCATGTATATTTATGATGATAATATACAACACATTGTTTTTTTTTGGGGCCATGAACCTTTTATTTTTTTAAAATAAATGGGCCTTAAAATACATTGTTTTTGGGCCATGAACCTTTTATTTTTTTCAAGGTTTCAAATCTAAACTGTTTCCATAAATGTCGAACACTTCACATCAATAACTAATTCAATACACTGTAGTTTCCATCGTTCTAAAATATTGTCCAAACTCATAATTCTAATTAAGATGGTCCGCCCATATACAAACGGTTTAAATCTTGTAACAATGGATTATTTTTTGCTATTTTCTAAACTTTGCATTACACAATCTACATTCATTTATATCGTATTTCAACATGTGAATGCGTATATGTATATGTATACGTATGTGTATGGGTTGGATTTAGTGGAGTTTGCTAATGAGAGGTACCACAATCTGAAAAGTGGCTCCTAGAACTAGAAAGACCACCTAGATTGGTTAAAGGTTTAATCTTTATATTGTTTAATGTTCTTGCTTTGGTCATAAAGCAAATTAATAATTGTAATAAAGTTGGGGGCAAAAGATTTTTTTGCATTGATAAAAAAAATACTATACCCTTTTTGGTTCCCTTACTATCAAACAACCGAGTAGAGAACAAAATCTAAAGGGGCACGAAAAAAAGCTTGTAGGAATATATATATATATATATATATATGTATGTACAGGAATCTTCTTTGATAAAAGGCTATAAATTTCACATTATGTGTCTATTTTTACGCATCTACTCATAGGGTTAGTGGATCCCTCCAAAACAAAATTACAAGAATTGACTATGACAAAAGGATAAGGGTTACCAAATAACAGAGATCGGATATGAAAATATATTTTATATTGTTATTATTATTATTATCATTGTTGCTGCTGTTGTTGTTGGAGTACAATATATTCAGATCTAAATAAATTGACATAAGTAAAAACACTGTAAAAGATTATGTCTTTTGTCTCAATCATTTTTTAAAAACTGAATTTGTAGAAATTAAACTAAAAATTCAGAAAAATAAATAATTTTATTTTTATTTATATATGAATTGAACATATAATTCGTTGAGTTTGCAATTAAATTTTTTAAAATTAACATATAATATTTTCTAATTCGAAACTAACTCACGATATATCTAAAAAATAAAAAAAAAATTGAATTAAAATTGAAAAGAGAATTTTGATGTGTTTGTTTTAAAAAGAAAATATTTTATAAAATCTATCAACTAGAATCCATCTAATCTAAATTAAACCAAACCAACATTGAAAATGTATAAAAGGAATGAAAACGAAAATTTCCTCCATATACTAATAATATGCATATATATATATATAAAATAAATTTTAATTTTGTATTAATAATTTAAGAAAATATATAGATCACTGTTGTACTTTATGTATACTATGAGAATATAAAATTACGTCAATTGATTCTCATGCATAACAGTGCTGACAATCTTTTGGCAGTAGTAATGACTATCCTGCACCATCATAGATTGTGACAATTAATTTGAAAGTATTGGAACTCGAATTCGTATCACAGTTTTATTCGATTGATAAGTCGAGAATTTTATTTAATTCTTTTGGCTACATTTGCATATTTTATAACATACATTTCGATCGATCGATCGATCCAAAACCAATTTTAAGAACTTTAATTGCAAAAATAAACAGATCTTATAATTAAAGTCTGTAAATCATACGTATGACAACGTGCATGTGATTTAATTTCCAGCTAAATTATAGAGATTATTTTTTTTCATATAATTAAAATATTATAAAATACATATTGAGGCTACTACGTGTGGTACAAGGACGACATTTATTATATATACTTGTGTAGCCTGCCAGCCAATGTTATTAATAACTATTAATGATTAAAACATTTGTCAACAGATTCATTAAATCACTTGCCTTAATCAATGTTTAAACACCTTGTTATGAAAATCTCATCCTCAAACTGTACAACTAATGAATCTTCATAAATAGATCGTAATATCGAATCTTTCGAATTCTATATTCTATGCAATCGGGAATCATAGTGTAGCGCTCGTATAATTGTATATTAAACCATATAGCAGTATATCTAACGTCGGTTCGTATATATATGTTAAGTCAAGATTTTTGTAGCTAAACAATAACTTGATCACGGGCCATATATAATATGTCACGTTTTACCTAAAACTATATCGACCTCTATTATATTAATTCGGTATAGAGTCCATATTGCTCCACTCTCGTACAAAGATACACATTACATTCTTTTTTTTTTTAATATATAGAGTGAAATTGAGATTTTATGTGGGAAATGTTGGTTGAGTTTGTGGTCGTTAATTCTCTTCCATCCGAGTTTCTATTGTTACAAAGTGAGCCAAAATACAACAATTGGTCGACCCTATCTATTGAGCTATACATTCAGTTTGATTACAAAAATTGTTGGCAAAACTAAATTATCATAACCATCATATAACATAACTTCGCAACCACCGATTAAGTTGTCGATTTGTTGGGTTAAATATTTGGTTGGACGAACCAAATAAGAATCACAGGAAGTCTTTTTCGGATACGTAATTGCACATTATGTATGTAAAGTGTATGTGTAAAGCATTATTTATATGTATATAAGTGTATATATGTGTGTATGTATATATAAAGGAAAAAATAAAGATGATATATATATATATATAAGGTGAAAACACAAAAATAGAATGGTGGTTTTGGATGTATCTTGGCCCATTGTAAAAAAGACAGGTTCCTGGTTTTATTATGTTGGTTAGTGAAACTCCTAACTATTTTTCATTGAATTTCACAGTGGGAATTATTGGTGAGACATAGACAAGATGGCTTGAAAATGACCATGCAATTTTCATTTATCAGCCGCTCCAAAAGCAAATTATATATATATGCATTACCTTTGCTATCTCGTCATACAAAATTAGAGCATATATAATATCATCGACATAATTAAATAATATATGTTTTTGGATTCATATCATTTGGACCAAAGCACCATTCACATTACAACTATTAATTTACTTTAATTAAAAAAGGGCTAACTTTTCGACCGTCCAACTTGAAATTTTTAGATAGAAGAGAAAGATGATTATATAATCTTTTCACGTCTTATTTTAGAAAATCAAGCTTGGTATATGTAATCCATCAAACGAATTAATTACCCTATTTGGATGTTCCTGTTTCACTTTTTGGTAGGTTATCCTCTATCTAACTTTTTGTCACATTAATCTTGTAAATATTCACTCCTAAGTACCATCCATAATTAACAAGAATCGAAGCATATAATATTCTATATACAGAACACTACACTGTTTGAAATAATAATAATAATTAAAAAAAAAACCCGAAAATAAAAATCAAATCGCAATGGTGAACACGTCGAGAGGTTACAGCATGAAGAAATAAGCAGTACAACTAACAAACGGGGTTTTTGTTTTTTTATTTTTATTTTCTAGAGATCACAAAACAAGAGGTTATACCAGGTGATTACCCAAGTAAACCGGTCCGATATGGTCCGGTTAGGTGCAATTTCGGGTTAGGTTATATTATTTAACAACCTCGTGTTGATGAATTAAACAGAGCATTTGGTACACTGCTGTAGCGATGTCAGCAACCGAGGTAAGCTTACAATCATCTTCCACCTGCATTATTATTAATCTCAAAAATATTAAAAATTTAAATTCAAAGTGAAAATAAGTAAATATAATACTTGGTAAAAGAATACGTTCCCCAAGATACACGTACCGTACGTGTATATATTTTCGCATTCATAAATCATTTTCATCTGTATGACACATTGTTTTCTTCTCCAAAGTCGGACCGTAACCTTTGGCACCATGCCAAATTTTATGTGGCTATTATTATTAGAGACAGTACAATGATTCGTTAAAAGAAAATTTTTGTTTTAGGTACTGTAAATAAGGACGGTCACTGCCACAGCATTAATGTCGTAAGCATCGTAACATACACGAATAAAAAGAAAATTCCACGTCTGAATTTCTCGAATGGTCAAATCTTTTTAACTTCATCATAAATTACTTTGGCATGCAGATGCGTACGTAAGTACGTACTGAAATCTTAATTTATATACACGTACTCTAATAATAAATAAACAAAAAGAAAGATTCGTAACATATACGTATAATTAGTCTCTTAGATAAAGACGCTATATGTATAATTAGTCAAATCATATTAAATATACAGAATCCAAATCTGGCCTATAATCGTGACCGGTATCTATTTTAAATGGAATATATCATTAATACGCTAAAAAAGGAAACGATTACGAGTTTATTCGCAGTAAAATACAAAAATAAAGGAAAAAATAACAACTTAGAGAAAAAGGAAAACAGAACATGCACACAACTAGCTTAAATTGTGCATTTTATCATATCCGATTATAAAAAAAAAAACTTGTGATGTACATTCTATCCTTTATCTAAACGTATATTACCAAAATAATTAGGTGTTTCAAGTTTCATGCATTATGAAATTAAAAAGGAAAATATTGATGTTAAAAAAAAGTTGGCATATAACACAAGAAGATACGTACCTTTGTGGAGAAACAGTAGAGAACAAAGTCGTCGGCAGTAGAGACATTAAGGTGAAGGATGATAAACCCTAAGGTCTGCAAACCAGAAACCACGTTGAGAAGGAGCTTCGGTCTCCGCTTTGTCCTAATCTTCAGGCTGGCATGGCTCTCTATGAGGCTCACTTCGATATCGGCCAAAGCATTGGCCTCAAGAACAGCGTTGTTTTCGCCGGTTTCTCCGCTGCAAGAACCCGTGGAGAACTGAGGAAATTTGAAGAAATCGGAGAATGGATCAGCGGAGGAGGAGGAGGAGCCGCCGCCTGAGATGGGTTTTTCCTTGGAATCTCCATGAACGCTGAGGCGGTGAAGACGGTGTTCGAGCTCCCTCACAAAGTTTATGGCTCCTCCTACTATGGATGCTTGGTCGCCCTGATATGACATAAACACAAATAACTCAGAAACACAAATGCGAGAGAATAACGATTCTTTAATGGAAATTTGCATAAATATATAGAACAAGAGAAGTTCCACTTTTTAAACATGATGGTTCAAAACGTACCTTAATGGAATTGTGTGTGAAAATGTGAGAATATCCTTTACAAAATAAAAAAAAAAGGTACTATAAACACATTAAAACGTAAATCATCGGCTGCCATTTCCTAAGAATTTTAGGGTTTACGGTAGATAAACTCTAGGAATAAAGGCTGTGAGAAAAATATATCGAATACTATATTACTATATATGTATATAAATGAACACACGTTCGGATACTTGCCCTTTGAACGTAAGACTCTGGCATGAGAGAGCGGAGAACAGAGAGATACTCGTTCATTTGTTTTCTCCGGTTACGCTCCACGGCAATGTGAGTCATACGTTGATTCTCGATCTCCTCCTTGTTCTTCCTCGTCTTCGATCTGCGTCTCTTCGCTCGGTTCAACCCCGAAGAATTCGCATCGTTATCTCCTTGCTGTTGTTGCTGCGGCTGCTGCTGCTGTTCGTTGCAACTCGAGTTGTAACAATTCGGGTAGTCGCTGGAGTTACTCGAGTATGAATTCGGAATCTTGAAATCGGTGACGAGTAATCCCGTTGAATCTTGGGGGACGCTCCAACAGTAATCGTCTTGAGGAAAAGTGCAGTCGAAATTTTCTGTTTGGTTCCCGAGAAAACTGAGAGAGCCCTGTAGATCGTAGAGCCGAGGCTCTTCTTCCACGAAAGCGCTGGAGAGATCTTTCCCGTTGTAGCCGAAGATGTGATCTTGTTGGAAAACAACAGCCTCAAGAGCCATTAGAGCTGCTGCTTCTTCTTTCAAAGGAGAAATTATTAAATAATGATAGTGATTAAGAATATTATTATTATATGGAGAATTTTAGGACAAGAGAGAAAAACATGTTGGAGATTGTGAGTGGGTTGATGCGTGTGTAAAGACACTAACACTATGCCTCTTTTTAAAGGGCCATATTGACGGGAACAAACTCTACAGCTTATTGCACGTGAAAAGGATAGTTTGGGAGTTTGTACAAAGGGAGATGTATTTTCTTTTCAGGTGAATACTTTTTTTTTTATTTTATTTTTTCTGAGCCAATGGTTTATTTTTCTCATTGTGTCAGAAAAAAGATGAATTTTAGCCCATTCAAAATACTTATAAAATAAAAATGCATGTATATACAACACAGACATATAGACACAGTTATATGGCCATTTGTATGCTTTTTTTATATTTTATAAAATTTATTAGTCGTGTCTAGGATTATAATTTTATGAAAATAACAGACACTGCGACAGTGTTCTGTTGTCCCACCAGCGCTGTGCTTCTAAATCTGCCGCGTTTTGACCGCTAAAACATTGGCGTTTGAGTTTGTTAAAAATTAAGATATATTTTTATGACAAATCCAATTTTTTCGTGTTATTGTAGAGAGATGATTGAAGAATTTACCACTAACATTGTTTCAGTTCAGACATGTACAAAAAAGTTATCTAAAAACTATAAAAAAAAAATTAAATTTATTTTCTCTAGTGATCAATTTTTTTTCCTCAAATTCTTAAAACAAGGATTCTAATCTTAGATATGTCACGAATATTATGGGTGTTTAAACCAGGTTTTTGAGATATCGGTGACTTACGTAAGCATGGCGAATATTGAATACGAAATCAATGGTGATGGTTAAAATTGTTTTAATATTTGAAGTATGAAACAAAAAAAAAAAGGAAGAAGAAGAAATATTTTTTTTTGTTTTATTGTTAGTTTGGATTGAGCTCTCTACCATATCATTCTCTCTAAAAATAGAGGCAACATGGATGTTTGTTCTATGATGAACTAAAGTTAGGTTACATGTCAGAAAAAAAAAATACGATCTAATTTTAAAATATATCAATAAAATCTTTTATTTCTTATTTGAAGTTACAGGATTTATAATAATGGACAGATGAGCCTAATTATTGGACATGCAACTGTTTCGAATATTCTAAAATGAGATAGTTTCTATTCTACACGTTAAAATTACAACGATCAAAATAAGAAGGGATTATATATATCTAGATTAAACATATTGTTATTATTATTTATATTTATTTTGGTATAATGATTATTAATTAGAAATTCTTTACAATAAAATTACAACGATCTTCGGTTTGCAGTTTGTCAACAAAACATTGGTGGCATTGTAAAATATTTTGTACGAGAAAAAATGTATTAGTTCATGTAATTGTACAGAACACATTCTAAAAATTTTAATAAAGGCATTTTAATTTGAGGCTTAGTGAAGTTTGTCAACTAATCTAGATACGCGTAAGGGAGCAGTAGACCCAACTGGCACTGACCATTTCATCAATTAAGAACAAATTTTGCATTTATTTGTCCTCAAGATTAATAGTTGCATTTAATTCTTTATATATATATATATATATATATAATTTATTCAAGCTTCAACGGAATCTCCCCCTTGCATGCACTCGGCCACATTTTCTTCACACGTGTGGCCCATCGCGGATGCTACGTGGCAAGGTTTTGAAGAGAGGATGTTCGTTTCTCTCATATACACCTAAATACAAATTACACCAATATTATATAACAGTTAGATTTGATTATACTTAATTTTATACATGTATATTAAATATTTATTACTTTATTTATATTAAGATATAAAACTGAATTTTTAATAAAAAGTCTATAAAAAAATCTTTTCTATTCAAATATCTATCATATGGTATTAGAGGTGGTTCGGATTAATTAATACAAACTAATTTCTTTTAATTTTCATAGAGAATGTTTTTTTTATAAATTTTTCATAGAAAATGTTAACATTCTTCTACCTAAAAAATCGTACATTTCACAAGTTTTCAATTCACGCGACCGTATACCCTAATGCTCAATATCTTGTTATCGCATACCACCTTACAATATACCAAACTTGAATTGTTTTGCTCTTCAAACCATGAGTGAAAATTGTACCCCGGACGTGCAACTTTGTACGTAGAGTTTCAGGGAAAAAAGCTATATCAAATTATAGCCATAAATTTTGGAGCATCTTCCTCGGGATTCCACGACCATAATTTTTCTATTTAACTATTAATATCTTAATAAATGTTTAATACATGTGCATAAGCTACCACTACATCGATTACACAGTTCACAAGTTCCAGAAGCCCTAGCTTTGATTGTTGGAACCCTAGAAGGAGGATGACTAAAAGTAGGTAAATGATTTGCCCGTTTCCTCGTTAAAATATTAAATAATATGTATTTAATAAACGTATATATAATATATTTATAGGGTTAACCAATCAATTTATTAGAGTTTAAATAGGTCGGTTAGTTTTCAGAATTATAATAATTAAGAGATTTTGTCTTGACCCCATGTGATTATATCAGAAAGAGGCTAGGTTCCATGCACGTAATAATATTTAGAACTACCGAATTAGATCAGTGGTTCCGAAATCATATTTATTGAATTAGATGTTAGTGATCAAATTAGTAAATAGTAGACCTATAGAATTTGATAAGTTGCTCTAATAAAGACAATTATTATGAATAATGTTGTTTTTTTGTTAACAATTATGAATAATATTCTTACAAAAATGTATTATGAATAACAGTCAATAAAAGATTATAGTATAAGCCTGATTAATGACTGCTCAATAAGTTCGATTCGAATGGTTGACAAAATTATATGATTAAATATTCATGGTTTATATTTCAAGTTTTGTAATTCTAATGTACCCTCTAAACGCGTTGAGTAATTTCATCAAGGAGTTGGTAATATATTAGGAAATGACAGTTGGGTTTTATAAACAAAACGAAGAAAAATCAACAAAAAGATTATCAGTTTATTATTATAACATTTTTTCAAGATTTAATTGAAATTATATAAGACATATATATATATCGCGCTCACAAACAGACATATATCGTTTACGAGACACCAATTCGTCGGTGTACATTGAACGAAAGATCAAACTTTTCAAGGATTTAGATGTTGTGGTTGCCGCGCGATGTTGAAACATGAAATTTTCAAGGAAGTACGTAGTGGATACATACCTGTACACTCGTTTTGCTCATATACACATGCATATTATATATATATATATATATATATCATGTGTAAATATAATGTCGTGCACGTGTTTATCTACACACACATACACACACTGAACAGAACTTTTTTCTTTTTGAATCGTGGTTGGTTCACATTTTTATTTATGTTTTAAGTGTTTCTAAAAAAAATAAAATGTCAATTCAGATAAGTTAGTCCACTGAATAAATACCCTCTTAGAATTTTAGTATGTTTACTCACCATTTATTGAGATATAGTATAGTTTAAATATAACTATTACCTTCTCTATAAATAGTTTCCAGATTAGAGAGTTAAGAAAATGGGATTCACTTCTAGCCATTAATTTAATTGTTGTTGTAATCCAAAATTGTATTGCTATTGCATGCACTTAATAATTAAACTTATTGATTGTGCTACTTTATCACAAAATGATCTTGCTTAAACAGTAACTTATGTGCCTCTGTTTAATTAAAAGGTTAAAAAATCCGCATTTAAGACATATCAAATTCTTAGGGTAATGCTATAAATTCCCAATTTCTATGTCGGATTTCATGTTTTAAGGTTTATAATGTTAGGTTACTTATGATGTATCAGAAATACAGCTTTTTGAGGATTAATAGAACTTAGTTTCAAGGGATGAGGTTGAAAAACTTTGCACGTTGAGTTGTTTTGTCCCGTTAGGCTATGCTTTTGCGTGGCAATCTTGAATTTTCCAGGTTCGTTGCACGTTGAATCTATTCCATGAGAAAATAATACATTAGTGTGTGTATATTATATATATATATAACGTAACATGCAAGAGTGAAAATATTAATAGCTATCTTCAAAATTATAATCAATAATGTTGTTCCACGAGTGCAGGAGGTGAAACATGCTAGCTGGCCTCATTGAAAAACATAACCCTAAAATCGACGTATGTAATCTACCAAAAATAGTACAAACAGCATCATTATGATATCATCATGACTTTTTATAAATATTATTATTAAATTCACGAGCTCCTCTTTTAAATATCGTGGGTAGTAATTGCAACATTCTGAACTATTTTCTTTATTAAAAAAAACATTCTGAACTATTTTATTTCACATTACTAATACACACACACACACACACATATATATATATATATATATATAAATACGTTTAGCTTGTTACCATATTTTATTTCACACATTACTATAGTTTTATATGATCCATTAATCCACTACAAATAAAAATAAAAATATTTCAACGCAAAATTGCATTGGAAATCTTGATTTCTAATACAAATATAAAAAAATACGTTTAGGATTAAAATTTAATCTCATATATAATAAAAGTAAAATATAAATGTAAGGCCAATTCAAGCTAATAAGAATGACAATATTTCGACACAATAATAGTGTTAATAAAGTTTAAACTAAATTTCATGGAAAATTTTTAGAACGTTTTGAAAAAAAAAATTGTAATGAAATATAAATTTATTCTAGATTTTAAGTTATATTTTAAAATTAGTATTTTGGTTTTTACTTGTATGTAAATAAAAAATTCTCAAAACAATCTTAATTGCTTAAATCAACCAAATAGAATGATAATTAAAATTTGAAACAATAAAATACCGCGCGCTGTACTAAAAACTTATAAAATGTTTCTTATCTTAACAATTTAAAATTTTAATATTTTATTGTCTAATATTTTTAGATCCATTCAGTGGTATTGAATTCTTTGAAAAAAGTGATACATATAAAAAATGGTATTTATTTAAAAAAGTAATGATTCTTCTATAAGAGAAATGGAAGTGTGTTTAACTGGTTATTTAATATAAAATATTATAAGATAATTTAATGTAAATTGACATACGAATTTTAATTAAGAACGTCGAAATTAATGTTATATATAAATATTCACGAGATAATTATGGCTCATCAGATCTTTTATATGGTTGAAATAATATTCTTAAAATATATCAGTTGCAATATATATACATGCGTATTATGTTACGGGATCAAACATAATTATTTATAAATAGATATGATTTAATCTTAATAAAAATGAACCGATCTTTTAGTAACGATTTTTTCGAAAGATTCTTTCTCTTTCTTTCTATATTTCTTTCATTCATTGATTACTGATTTTTACTTCATGTGAACCTAAACATGAAGAAAAGTAAAAGAGAATGAAAGCATAAACATAAGCAAAGCCATGATGAAAATAGATTGAAAAAGACCAGTTGCCTTTTGTGCACTTTTCATCATGTGAAAACTTGTCCACGTCGGAGTGGGTCCCGCATGATCCATTCCATATATTCCCCCCCTCCTACATTTCGAAATAAATACAAAATATCAAAGCCAATTTACTTTTGATATTTTCAAATACCTACATCAAAATTGTTTAATAAAATATAAACAAAGTTATATTTGGTATTTTCATAGATTTATAATATATTTGTCTTATAAGAATAGATCGTTTAATAGCCTAAGATATAACAATATTTGTGATATCCCAAGAGAATGTAAATTTTCGTAATAGGTGGACTAATATTGAATCTTAACCAACGGTTAAATCAAATACATGCGCAAGAAATATATACATCAATAAATTACATTATTAATATTATTGGGGGGGGGGGAGAAAGTGAAATATAAATATATTTTTATGCAAATTAAATTGCAGAGAAAAGGGTGTAAAATTACATAATTTAAACCAAAAGCAGATCATCGACATCACCATAGATTTTGTTGTACTACGTAAAATATTTTCATAGCATGTCGATACATCAATCAGTCAATGTTTGCCTCTTAGATTCATTATTTATCACGTAAAAATGATTCCATTGTTTTGTCAAAATAGGAGTTTTCCCGAACTTTTTTTACCCTCCCAAGGTTACAGTTGTTAATATATATATATATATATATTGCAATGTGGAAAAACATTATTAGATAAAAGTTGTAATATATCATGGACATTCAATTTTTCATATAATTAATACTGTAACACACCTATATGAACATATATCGTAATCGAATTAAAATTGATTTAAAAATTACTTGATATCAAACTAATATCAATTGTAAAACTAGTCAAATTGTTTTAAATGGATTTTTTTTATAAAAATAAATTTCAAATAATAATGTAATTTAAATTTAAATATAAAATAAAAACACCGCTAAATAATTCCTTTGGAATTTACAGCACCTGCGTACTTTTCAAATAATGATTTGAACATCATCATATAGCCCATGACAATTGCGGGTTCCTCTTCGGCTTTCGTGAGAGGAATCTAATTTGGGTTCTAGACTGTCTGATTAATTATTAACAAATAATTTAATTTAATCATAATACATAATCATATATAGATAAATATATGAATATGCACACGGACTTGTGTGTATGTAAAGTTGGTTAAAGCCCGTGAATAAATAAAAAACATGGAAAAAATATTAAAGAGATTAGGCAAACTGTTTGGACCAAAGGAAAATGGGAACAATCATGATTATGAACACATCAAAGTTTATGTCTTAAGCAAAGTTTTTATTTTATTATTTTGATTAGACATAAAAACAGATTTGTCATCATGTCTTTGGAAGAACATAAACTTTGGGATCTTACAGACAGTGGGCTTAAAGAGGTACGGCCACTTGTTTCCTACAGGATAGCCACGTGTGCATGCAGGCTCGTATTATTATTTTTTCACGTATACTTTTTATTTTTAATATCATGAGAAGCGATGGATGGCTTGCGGTGACATTACCATTTCGTTTGGACTTAATTTCGGATTGTTTACTTTATAAAATAATATATAAAAAACTTTATGCGGAAACACTAACATTCCGTTTTTATTAAATGAGTTATTATTTTTTAAAATATTGATTAATTTAATTTAAAAATGATATCGAATCCGTGTTTAAATTGGATTGGATTAGTCTGATTTGATTTATCTTATATGTCCATAAAACATCCATATATAATATAATATTAATACTTCACACATTAGTTGGAAAATATGCGAAATCTTGTATTGCACTACACTCGATAATCCATCGCAGATTCAAAACAGATTATTATAATATATATATATATATATATATATATGTGTGTGTGTGTGTGTGTATTGCATTGATTTGGACTTGAATTCAAACACACAAGATGAAAATATGTTAGAGTCCATTGGGCTACATCTCCTCACATTGAGTTTGGGCCATTAGGCCCAACAACTGATTCGTTCGTATAGATTATAATAATATTTAAATGCCCCTTATATAAGCCCCAACAAGAGTTGAAAAAAAAACTTCCAAAATAAATGAAACATTGCAAAGTATAACAAAAATGTGAAAAATCCTGTAAAAACCACTCGGTTTATTGATTTAAATTATATCATATATAATTTTTTACGAACTATATTAAACTTTGGATATAACATCGTTTCGTGAAATTGTAATGAATTGACGTGTAACTATTCGACCTAATAATAAAAAAAACCAAATCCACTTTCAGTTGAATCCTAGACAGATTAAACTATATAACAAAACAGTTACGAAAAGATCTAAATATAAATATTTCGATAAAAGCTCAAACCATATTGGATTAGAAACCAATTCTATTTAGCAAGTAGTTATTTTTCATGGTTTGTTACAATGATCTAAAAATATAAAGTATTATTATATTAGTCAATAGAGATTAAAAAAAAATACTTACTTGTTGTTACAACGCAAACAGCACATGGTCCGTTTTTATTAGATTTACATTTACTTGAATTATTTGAGAACCGTTCGGTTTTTTGAATTAAGAACGATTTGGAATTGTTACAAATTCCGAAAGAACCAAGTCGAAATGGGTGAAAATGAAGAATCCAAGTCGGTCGACCCAAATAAATTTGGGACTAAGGTGATGTTGGTAATTGAGATCAATCTCTGTCTAATTGTTTAGCCGCCGCCAGCCGATTTGGTAAACTCCAAAGTTGAAAGGTCCACTTCTGGTCTCTGACGGACCAAAAGAGAGGAAAAGAGAATGACGAATTTCTGTTTGAATTTCCCTACTTATATATAACGGTCTGCCCGCATTCTAACATAAATTATAGTTAAAACTGGAATATATTATTGTTAAATTCAAATAAAACCTATTTTCAGTAAAAGAAGATGAACTGTATTGCCAACATTGAATTTGATTTGTCATTAATGGAAAAAAAAGATTGATTAGTCGTCATAAAATGCAAAAATATATATAATGTGCGCAACAACGAATAACCAAATTCCAAAATTTATTTTAAATTACATAGACATTCCATATAGTTGATGAATTTTATCAATTTTGAAAATTCCTTTCTGGATGGTTGACCGATTCGTAGTACCATCCGTAAGACTTTTCTGGATATTGGAACTTTCCTTTGAGTCAACATGGCAAAAACCCATTGTCCCATTGCTGACGTCATCTCTCCACAAAGCCTTATAACTTCCCCCTCCGGTCTTCTTCTTCTTCATCCTCGTACCTCTCCCCTCCCCTCCCCCCCCCTCTCTCTAGATGCTATAATACACCGCGATGCATAGAATCTTTACCGTATTCGTTCTGGCCATCTTACTACCGACCAGTCCAGGCTTCGCCGCGGCTCAGACCGAACCGGGAAAATTAAGCGGCCAGTTCAGCCCGTCAATCATCGTTCTCATCTCCGCCTTGTGCACGCCCGTAATTCTCATCGGATTCGCCGTGATCTTCGTAATATGGTGGCAACGAAGCCAAGCGACGGTCTCGGGACCGAGTCTCAACGTCCTCCAACCTCGGCAGAAAGCGCGTGGTATGGACGCGCGTGCCGTCGAGGCTTTACCCACGTTTGTATACGCCGACGTGAAGAGCTTGAAGGTTGGCAAAGGGGCGTTGGAGTGCGCGATTTGCCTGAGCGAGTTCGAAGACCGCGAAACGCTGCGTTTGCTTCCGAAATGCGATCACGTGTTCCACACGCAATGCATTGACGCGTGGCTCGGAAATCACGTCACTTGCCCGGTTTGCCGGTCTGATCTCACCGATGAACCGGCGGTCGAGGGAATAACCGGAACCGAGTCCATTGACATCGAATCTCAAACCGGAGAAGGACGACGTGAACCGGATCAAGAGAGCAGAGATCGTGTTACTGCCACGGTTGAACCGGTGACACCTGCGAAATTGCTGAGGTGGAATACAACCGGTCATTTATGGGTTCAACCGGGAGAACGAAAAAATACCGACCGTTTTACTTTGAGATTACCGGAAGAGATTAGGAAGCAGATTTTGGGGGTTGGAGAAGGGAAATCGAGTAAAGGGAGGAGGCTGAACCGGCGGCAGTCCATGTCAGAAAGATGGTTAGCCTTTAAAACGTCGTCGTTTCAATGGAGAAATGGGTCACCGAAAGGAGCCGCCGTAGCTGAAGGGACATCCTATGTTAGACCGGAACAAGCGGTTCGACCGCCGGTTTGATGGGTTCGTTGTATAGTGATTTTCTTAGTTTTAGTTGTTTGATATGTTTTACCAAAAAAAAAAAAAAAAAAAATCATAGAAAGATAATTGTGAAAAGATACTTTTTTTTTCCAATTATTTCAGATTCTTTTCCGTTGGAAATAATGTAAAAAACAATATCTTAGATTTTTCTGAAAATAGTTTACAACGTTTTTGAAGCTCCCTGGACCCTGGACCAAAGATACCCGGTTATCAAAAAAATATTATGGACTATAATATTGTAATTGTTTTCTTTTACGTCACGATACCATTACTTGTATAAACGTGCACGCCATTGGTCTAAAATATATATTTTCTTTTTACAAAATGTAGAGTTTATGAGAAAGCCGCTTGATAGGAAAAACACGTAGGCTCTTCCTGATTTTGAATCAAAATCACGTTAGCAGAGTCGGGGATAGTTCCATTTGTAGAATATACCGGACGAAGTAATTCCACTCGTTAATCTTCCGGGAATCCGAGGAACCTGTAAATAATACGAGCGACCGGTGTGCCGTCGCCGGGAGTGTACGGAACGAGAGAATCCAGGTCCATACTCGCTACGGTTCGACAAAGCGTCTGGGGGCGAGCGTAGAACAAGTGTTTCCTCTCGGCTAGCTCTTCCGCTAGTTCACACTGATGATTGTCCATTAGATCTTCGTTCACCACCACGATCAAGGGTCTCCCCAGCTTTAGTGTCTCGAATATGCTTCCAGATCCTGAAATAAACATTAAACACGACGGCCACTTACACCGGTTACACGTCATAAGCCTGGATATTAAAAGAGTAGGCTCTGTTCATTCGTAAGAACGAGGATGACATTTTTTTTCGTAAATCTAATATGAATTCCATATAGATCAACATCAACATTGCCTTACTTCCAAGTTTATTTGGGGAAATTCCAGATAGATACGGTGCTATAACAATCTACTGGTTGAAAAAAGTTACCGAAGAACTTGCAAGACGATAAAAAAAGATTGAATAAGAGGTTCTTGAGAAGGAACACACCAGCATGACTGATAACAAGAGAAGCAGACCGGAGATAATCTTGTATGCTCGGTGAAAATGTGAAGTAATCAACTATCAACGATCCATCTGCTCTGTCGGACTGGCTCAGCGATCAAAACCACATTAGGAACTCATTAAAGAAAGATATCACCAAAACTATGAATTCCACTACCATTTCAAGAAGGGAAGAAGAACACAGAAAATGTCCTGACCAAAGCTTTGGAACCAGCCACCAACAAAAAGACAGTATTTGAACGTCAAGATAGGATGGTGTTATTATGCTATCAGCATTCGGATAGCACATTGGTAAACGTTGTCGAGGAAAAAAGAAATAGCCGGAATATTTGCTATTAGGTTTAAAACACATAACATGCATTAGTTTACGTTAATATTTTTAAATCTACTATTGTTGTTAACCTAGGGATAATGGTAGAGCAAAACAATGCATTTGTAGAGCTATCAGTTTCCAATTTCAAATAATATCAATTAAAGATATTTACTTTGAGAAGACGATGGCCTGCGCCTCAAATGGGTATGGCAGACCATCAATCAATTTACATAGCGTTCTGCAAATTCAATAACAGAGTAATGTGCCCATAATTCCCTAACCCCAATTTGATAATCACAATCACATCATATCATACTAAATGTTTTTACATATCAAGTTCTATTCCATAAACCAACGGAATAAAAGAGAATCACTTTGTGAGAACAATAATATATATACCTTTGTTGGAGTGTAGAGTCCTCGACCCATCTGAATAACGAGATGGGTGTATCCTCTTTTCTGCAACTCGTCTTTGATTTCTTGGGTATCCACAGCTTTAACAAGTGCATCGAAACATGTTGTTCCCACCGTCACAAATACAACCCTCCTCGGATTCGGACCATCATCTTTGCCTCCCATATTGACCAGTGGCTTGTGACTGTAAGACAAGGTAGATATAGGTAACAAAACCGCAGTAGAAGAAAGACGTAAATGTTGAATGGAATTCATCTCATACAAAGGAAAATTTTATAGAGTATAGCTATTACATAACCTTTGAATTCAGAATATTAGAAGAAAAAAATCAGAAAAAAAAAAGAGAAAAGGAGAAGAAACCTCATCAAATAAGAAAATTCAGATTAGAAAACACACACTCTACTTAAACAGTTCAACATAAATGTAGGTAACTAAACTCTACCATTTCGATGCCAATATGATTCACAACACTAAAATCCAACCAAGGAAAAGAAACTTGAGGCGTATAACTCTAAATGGATCACCAATAGATATACCCAAGTCCTTAAAGACAGTATCCTAAAGACACAATTTGTTCTTGAAACCTTTGAAGACAGCCATCAAACCGAGTCTCAGGATTCATTGCAATATGCAGTTCACACCCGATTCTGCAATGAGACAACAAGTTTCCAAGTACAAATCCTAACAACACTAAACAACCCCACTGATCCAATTCCTGCAAAATCTAATCAAGAACTGAAAATTCCAAGTTACGATTTTGGACTGCCGGGGGCGATATAGTCGGATCAGAGCAACCCAAAGCCCTCCCGAGGATCCGGATGTGATTGTCTAAAGAACGCACCTTTTCAGAAAATTCCATGAAGATTCCCGAAAGATACTGCCGGTTCATTCAAATGCGGGAAATGAATCAAAATTCCCATTTTACTCTAAGGCTTTCACGGACAAGTCCGTTGATTTCTCCGCCGATTTCATGACAAATCCGATCGCCAAACACAGTCGCTAAAGGTCGATCTCTAGAACGACACAGCGGAGGTACAGAGGTGGAAACGGCAGAAGAATAAGAGAGATACGGGAGAGGAAGGAAGAGAGTTACCGGCTACGAAGGGGAGAGAGAAGGACGGCGACGGAGGAGAGGAGGCGAACGGGAAGGAGAAGGGAAGAAGGGAATACTTCGCACAAATTAATTAAAAGTAGGAACTGTTGTTTCCTATATTTCCATCTTAAACCCCGATATTTTAAAAAATAAGAATAATAACCCTACCAAAACCTAAACCTAATGAGTATTTGAAACCGAAAATATGAATTTCAAAATGAATTCGAACTAAATATAAAATAATCGAAAAATCAAAATATTGCCTGGAAAATTAGTACTTTTACCGATAAATCGAATCTAATATACAAATGGAAGGGGATATAGCTTTCCAAAAAATTCAACAAGAATCGAGGAGTGCTAGTTAACCGAAGCCGGTACGCAAAGAGAACCGGGGGGAGATTGGTTCGGTTTGAGAAATGTCGAGAGCCGTTGAGGAGTGACCAACACAGTTTCTTGATTCAATGACTCTATTGTCATGTTCAATCAAACCCAGACTTTTAGGTACATTTTTCGTATTTTATTCTCTGAAATGAATGATTTATCAATTTCATACCCCTATTTTTTTTTCAAATTATTGACAGCTGGCAAATTAGGTTAGGTTCCATGAATTCTAGACTTTTTTTTTTATTTCTCGGATTCTTTTTTTTTCAACATTTTAATTATCTCATTATTTTGTACCTGAAAAATTATGTTTTCTAGAAGGGAGACGAAGATGGAGAATCAATCGATAAATATTATGGTCAACCAAAATATCTATTCATTCTCTACGTTTATTGATTTAAAACTATTTCAGTTCATTTATAAAATGGATTAGAATGATTTGGGTTCAAAATAAACATGTATTTATTTGTGTATGTATGTATGTATAAAACTGTATAAATAAATGCATATATATATATAGGGACGGACCGTACATATATTTAAAAATATATAATTTTTTATGAATTTTATAAAATTTTAGTAACAAATATAGAATGCTCCATAAGATTTGCATTATTTTTTGCATTCTTTTTGTGTAGAATTACTCTATAAGATTTGAATTTTTTTTTGTCCCCAATAAAAACATTTGTGGGTCTACCACTCTATATGGATAAGCATGTTTATGCCTATGCAATTAAAAAAATATTTCTTTTTAAAAAAAAAATTAGTTATGATGTGACCATAACAGAATTTTTCAATTGCTACGTCAACATCTCCTCACTAAATTTCGTCAAATAGATAACGACTTTAATTGTCGTATAATGTTTTTAGATACGTGTATTAATTCGCGATTTTAATTAAAAGTTTAAATAATTCATATATATATATATTAATTAAAAAAATCATTTCATAAATTATTACCATTTAATTTCTTCTCTAAAATGCATGTCTATAGATTTTGGAAAATGTTTCTGTAACACAAATTAATTTAGAGGAAAAAGTAAAAAGACTAATGTACATGTCGTTTATAATGAGAAAATAAAAATGCAAATGGAAATGGAAAGAAAACAGAGATGTTCTTTACCCAAAAAAAAACAAAGATATTACGAAGGGTAACATCGTAATTTAATCAACACGAAACCCCTACCCAAAAAAAACAAAGATATTAAGGGTAACATTGTAATTTAACCAACACGAAACCCCTGTATCCCACGTAAGCCGAACTTGAGCCACGACACGAACTCCACTTACTTCCTTTCGTCATATAGTTCTTAAAAAAACCAAAAGTAAAAATAAAAAATAAAGAACCCTAAGAGCAACAATAAAAAAAAAAAGAGACAAAACCAGATCTTAATCTGTACCCACGAACTCGTTTCGTGAGAGGATCAAAGGGTCTTCACCAAATCTCTGTCTTGTTCGGTGTTCCTGCAGATTTCTGTGAAAATCAAAGAGGTGAATTTTGTTCTTTTTTTTTTCTCTGGAATTTTTCTCGTTGTCTTTTGTTCTTTTGTTTTGATCTGTTTGTTCCTGTCTCAAGCTTGCGAAGATCACGGTGAATTGAAGCTTGTTGTCCAGTTTTTGTACGATCATTAGTCGAAATAACGATGTAAAACTATGTCTACTTAGCCTTATAGATAAATCTTCGCCGTTCCGAGGGTTTCATCACTGTTGCTCTTAGCTATTTCTGGGGAAATCAAGAACAACGTTGTGGTTTTGTCCTGTATTTCTACCGAGTTCTGTCCTTGTTTTTTATATATGAAATTTATGATCTTCACAACTTGTTCAATTTGTCATAATTACAGTTTGGTGTGATATCCTGAGTTCATCATTTTAGGGAAAG